TGTAGGGAATCTCGAATACAAGAAGATTCTTCTTAAACCACTGGAGAAGTTTTTCCTGGAAATGAAGCATAGAGTCTTTTTTTTCAATTCAAATGAACATTTACTGAGCCCATATTAAATGGGGCATGGTTATGAGATGCCCCTCCTCCGTCTGTGTACCATTCCTTCCACTCTGCCTTTTTTTTTTTTTTGGGGGACGCAGGCCTCTCACTGCCGTGGCCTCCCCCGCCGTGGAGCACAGGCTCCGGAAGCGCAGGCCCAGCGGCCACGGGCCCAGCCGCTCCGCGGCACGGGGGGTCCTCCCGGACCGGGGCACGAACCCACGTCCCCTGCATCGGCAGGCGGACCCTCAACCACTGCGCCACCAGGGAAGCCCTCCACTCTGCTTTTTATCCTCCACTGGGTACATCCTATGTCTCATTAGTCTTTTGCAGCTATTCAGTCTCCTATTATGTAGTAGTGGGCTTGTTCAGAAGCTCAGAATCTTCTCAGAAAATGGTGGGTAGCAGAGTGATGGTCGCAGCTAATGGAGAATTTGCTTCATTTTAAACAAGCACTGACACATACTCTGCTCCCCATGGAGGTGCTGGGCTTGTCCGCTGCACCAGTCATGAGCTCCTGGGAATAAGCAGCAGTGACATCTGCATAATCTTCACTCAAAAAGCTCTCTGTGTGAACTGAATTGTAATCAACTGTGGCCTCAGTGGCTTTTTCCACAAAGCTGAGAGTGTTTGATTCCACATCAGTAGACAGTTTGAAAGCATGTGTGTTCTCCAAATACATGTCAGCAGTGGACTCTCGGGCAGTGCTTGACTGTAGGTCAGCAGTTGATTCTAGGTCAGTGATCAATTCTGGGGGTCATGTGGGGAAAGTCACAGCCGGGGCGAACACGGGAGAGAGGACCAGGGCCTTCCTGAGTGTGGTAAGAAGGCAGGTAGGCAGGTATCTAGCCTTCCTCAGCTAACCCAGTGATTCATCTTTTTAGAGCCAACTTGCATTGTGTTCTATAAGTAAATGCAGATCTGTGTGTATGTGTTTCTGTTTTCAGGACCTAATGAACAGGGAGAAGAAAAACAAAATCCCAAGTATGCAAGTTGGATTCATAGATGCCATCTGCTTGCAACTGTATGAGGTATTTATTATGAAAACTACTAGACTTGCTAAAATTTGACCATGTTATGAATTAAAACCTAAAGTAAATTGAAGCAACTAACATCAGGCGTATACTTTTTGCGTCTTAATCAACAGACTAGAAATACAATTATCAGGATAATTTCTTTTGCTAATGAACATGCTGTTTGTACTGAATAAGGAACACATTTTATATTTACTGTTTCTCAAAAATGTTAATTCATTAATGTATAACTAGTGAGTGCCTACCACGTGCTGGGATCCAGCAAATTTGTGTAGGGAACGCTAAGAAAAATCATGTGCCAGCGCTACTACCCTCAAGGAGGTATACTGTGCATACTCTATGTTCTTTTTAAGAGCATATTATTTTTAAGTCTGACTTTTGGCCTAAATAAGGAAAAACAGTTATCTAACTTTTTCTCATTGTCATAGTGTGGCTTAAGAAAATTTTTATGACGATTAAAAGGCAGTGGCTAGAAGAATATTGCAGGTTCCCACTTCCATATACCTGTTGGCTTGGGGTTTTGTTTTGGGGTTTTTTTCCCTTATTTATTTATTTTTTTGGTAAAGATATTCTCCCTAAAACATCCAATTTACTAGTTTTGATGTTCATGCCCTAAATATAGAAAGTAGATGCTGTCCTTGTCTTTAGAAGTTTAAACAGGAAACTGTCTTAAGTTTTAAGTATTTGGGAAAAGAGCATTTATCATGGTGTAATCATAGACTGTCAAGACCAGAAGAAACCCTAGAAATCTTCTAATCCAGACATTTCACAGATTCCGTCATTGAATCTGTAAAAAGTCCAACTTCCAGGGAGATGAAATGTTTGTCCCAAACAGGTAGTTAGTGGGAGAACTGTATTTAGAATCCAGTTCTCAGCCTGAGTCCAGGGTTCTAGCCAGTGGATGAATTTAAGAAAGAAGCTGTGGCTGAGGAGGGAAGGACAGGAGAGACAGCAAAAGAAAACAGGACAGAAGAACACTGGGTGTTAGGCCTCTGCACCACTGTCTCCCCACCTTTCTCAGCAATCTGTGCACACAGAGCCGTGTCTCCAACATCCCTGAATATCTCATTCTATAACAGATGCTTTTCTTGTGGATTGGATTAATAGTTCCTCAGTTGCAGACACTGATGTCTCTCTTGATTTTTTTCCCCCATGCCTGTAAATATAGTCAAACTAACAGTCAAATCACCCATTATAGATTTCATCCTTCTACATTTCAAATTTGTGCAAGGATTCATTTTATTTGACTGTCCTGTTGAATTCTATTTGATATAGACATGCATTTTTACCATTGTTACAGAAGTAATAAGTTGTTATAGAAAAATCAGAATACGAAGAAGCAAAAAGATAAAATCACTTATAATTCTACTATTCTGAGATAACCACTGTTATCTCCTTTCAGTGCATATGCTTTATGACATTTTCACATATTTTTCATTTAACAAAAATTGCTCTTTGCAATCCATAATATAAGATACATCTTTCTGTTTCAAATGTGTTTCTATGACATTTTTAATGGCTGCCAAATAGTAACACGATATTCCTAACCCCGTTGTTGGGTATTTAAGTCATTTTCAATGTTTGTCTATTACAAAGAAATCTGCAGTGAACATTCTTGTAGCTAAATATTTATGGCACTGTAGCTGGTAAATAATGTTGTTACATTAAACATATACACATAGTTATAAATTAACCTTTATTATAATCTTGGATAAAAATCTACTTAAGTACATTGAATAAAGTCATTTTATAGAAAAACAGAAAAACTAAGCAGCTCTCAAGGCAGTCAACACTTAGGGAGAACCATGCACTACATAAAAGCAAATGGATTATTTCTCTGCAAAGCCGATTCCACACAGATCTGCCTCCATAGCTCAATGATGTTATTTTGGAATGTGTGTTTGCTCTCTCTCTCTCAGCATGTACTCCCTGTCTGTATAGCTTAAGAGGAATCATTCATAAATGATCTGTGCTCACACAGTTTGTGAGAATCCCAACAGTGGGCCTGCTTATGAAGTGAGTGTACAATGTGGCCCTTTGCGTCAGGCCTGGGGAGAGGGCTTATTTCCTAGCTGCCATCTAGGTGTTGGCTTTCTTTTCTTTCTTTAGGCCCTGACCCACGTATCGGAGGACTGCTTCCCTTTGCTGGATGGCTGCAGAAAGAACAGGCAAAAATGGCAGGCTCTTGCAGAACAGCAGGAGAAGACATTGATTAATGGGGAAAGCAGCCAGGCCAAGCGGAACTGAGTGACCTATTCAGGCAGAGTTGAAGTTTACAGATGGCGTATTCTGCAGTATGCCTAGTTTTGCTATACACTGTACAGATTTGGTGTATACTTTGCCACTGCTGTATTTTTATTTTTGCACAACTTTTGACAACACAGCATGAAATGTTTTTAGAGGACTATTGCATATTTTCTGTATATTTGTTTTATGCCACTGAACTGAGATTATCAATGACACCTACTCTTAGCACATGGATAAGAGCTCTGTTTGTGATATTTTGTGTACTGCGAGGTACAAGTTGCATTCTTGCACCGAGGCTGGTTTTTTGGGTTTTTTTTTGTTTTTTCTTGCTGGGGATTTTAAATAATTGGTTTTGTGTTTTCTGAATTACCAATCTTTCAAGAATGTTTGGAATCGTTTTTCTTAAAAACAGGCTAGGAGCAAAGTGAATATATTCTGTGGCATTTAAAACCTTCACAGAATAGAGAAAAATATTGGCTGAGTGGATTTTAAGAGGAATGGGGTATATTTGTCAACACTGTATTACCTTAACAAAGTTAAAACTCTAAACAAATGGAAAGTACTATAAGGTAGTACTGTAAAGAAAAGGCATTATTTAATTATTTTGCTTTTTTTGTTGTTAGAGAACAGGCAGGAGAGAAATTTCTCATTTCAATGCAATAAATCTATCCAAAGGCTACCCGTAAACTCGCTTTGATCTAACCTACCTGATGGAAAGCAGGGGAAACCTTGGGAGAAGATCCAGTCACTGACTTTGAGGGATGAGTGTGATGCAGAAATGGAACAGCCGAGGATGGCTGCCAGTGAAGAGAACGTTCTGCTGGAAGACACTTCTGACAGTCAGTGAGTGTTTTGAATACTGAACTTCCTTTTTTAAATAACTTCCTTATCATTCACCTTATAAGCCATAGCTTGTAAGTCAACACTTTAAAATTCAACAGGAGAGCGAGAAAAAGTGATCATGGGAGCATTAGCCTGAAGTGAGAGATGACTGTATAAGATAAGAGGGTACAAACTGAATCATTTTTTCTGTTTGTTAAATGGAGTACAGAGAAAAGTACAAACAGCAAAGGGCTATCCTTGCTATTAGGGTCAAAAATTAAATCGAGGGAACAATATGGTAAGAAACCTTAAGCTTGAGTAAACTTAGCAGTATTGAGTTTGTGGCTGAGAAACTGCCATATTTTGGTTTACAAGACTAGTCAACCCAGAATCACAGAAGTTTGCATATGCACCCTAAACACTGGCCCTGAGCTTGTAGTTAGTGGTATCTACTTCTCACAGCTTTTAGTACATTTAGAAAATGTTAACATTTTCGTAGAATTTGAGCCCATTTAATTGTATTCCCACTGTGCATGTGTGCCCCTAAAGACACTTTGATTACATACTGGAGAAGTAGATAATGAACTGAGAACCTAGTTCAGGAAAAGAAAATCTGCTCTAAATATACAATAATGTTTGTTTGTGGGCAAGAGTAGGAAGAGAGGTATTTGTTTGATCTGTTCACCCCCCTCCCCACCCCTGAATAAAGTTTCTGAGTTTCTATAACTAGTTTGTATAGAAAAGCTCTTGGGGATATGATAATGCAGCATTCTCAAAGACTTTTCATTAAAACACGTTTTCCATTCATAACCATTTGTTCCCTAAACTACCTAAAATTCAACATATTCGTTAAGTTTTTAAAATTCTGAGTGTGTATACGTATCTTGACATAAAGTGGCTTTATTCTTACCCTTCAGGTTTTAAAAAGAAAGCAAAACAAATTGTATTGCCATTACTTTGTAGTGGTAAGGGCTATGTATTACTGTTGTGACACCTGTATTTTCAAGATGTTATTCTGTTTTATGTAATATACATGAGATCTGTGAGGTTGCCTCTTGGTGGCACTGCAGTGTAACTTACAAAGACTGTCACTAAAATAATGTATCTACATACTGGTATACACCTATGCATGCAGACACAATTCCTTAGTATAGAAAAATTGTCTGAAGAATAGCAGTCTTTAATAACCTATCTTTTTGCCATACACATTGTGATTTAGCAGTTATACTAAAATCTGTAGTCAAATACTTTAGTAGTTTGTTTAGAGCCCTCTAATATATGTCACTGAGATTTTTAAAGACACAGCAGACTGTGTATGGAGGATTTGTATGTGTGTCGTTTTAACAAGCCAGAAGGTGTATTTAGATTATAAATTTTTGGTTTACTTTTAGATAATAGCTTTTTTTACCTTACTAGTTTAGAAACTGAAAGAAGTGGGGCAGTGACATACCTATTTCATTTTTGGGTATTTTAGTTCATACAGAAGAGTGCTTCTTTAGGACTGGTTACTTGGTTCAAATAATTCTTAATTTTTTAGGAAAATCACTCCATACATGGATTATTACCTGGTACATGGGCACAAATTTTCTTCTTATGTGGATATTTCCTTTCCAGTATCTTCTCAAGTTGGAAAAAATATATATATGTAGTCTTCTCTCACCCTAGCCTATATTTATATTACCTGTAACCTAGCAAGAAGTTGTTCTTGCTCTAGATTAGTTTGTTTTCATTATAGCTGAGTACCATGATACCATTTCATTTCAATTTTCAGCCCCAAAAGTTCCCACTATTTTACTAAGTTGTGAGAAGATGTCTATAAAATTGCCTGGTCTTGTACTTTTCACAGGATTGGGCCTTTGCCAGCCACAATCCTGTGTGAACTTGTGTAAGTCTCTTTAACCTCTGTTGAGTGTGAACAGGTTGTGCTGTTGAAGGAGTTATGTTTGGGCTAAGCCTTGTCTCAGAGGAGGATGTCACAGAAGGCAGCTACTGTGTGTGTAAGCCCTAATGGGCCCTGGAGACCACTGTCAGAAATGGGATAGCAGGCCAAAGAGCAAGGTATCTAATCCCTTAAGTCATTTCCTGTGTTGAGTTTCCAAGACTGAGAAAAAGACAGTACATTTCTTTGGCTTCTCATGCAGATCACTAGATGTGTGAGATTTAGAGCTGTTTGAGCACCTCATCTCACGGTACAAACCCTGGACGATGATGTTTCACCACTGATCTCTTTACTATGAAGAATGGTTTCCTTCCGTAGGAGTGTTGGAGAAAAGAAAGTGTATGAAAGTGTACTGGAAATAATGGATTGCGGGAGGAAACAGGTTACAGATCTATTCTTGCCTAGCAGTGAAGTGCCTTTATTTTCAGCACAGAGCACAAATGTTAGACCTACTCCAATCTGATGGTCAATTTTCCTGTGTTTTCCACCTGATTGTACTCCTAAAGCTTTACAGGCCATCAAAAGAAATGCTGTTTGTTTTGTTTTACAAGATTGATTTAAGAAGGCGGGGGTGGGGGTAGGGATGTAACTGCTCTCCTCTCCTGGGAACAACTACAGTTAAAACAAGGTGGTATAATGTAACTGCTCAGTGTTAGACCTGCCTCGATCCACCTTTTACTGAGTTCCTGCTGCATGTCAGGCACTGTGCTCCACTGGGGAGAGAGAGCAGTGACCTCAAGGAGCTCACAGTCTCTGCAGGGAGTGCTGGATAAGAGATTTACCAGCTTCTGATCCTGCCGATTTAACGTGAAAATATCGGGTACAGTTATCACTTCCATTCCCATCTATAACATATGTATTACGTAGTTTTCCAAGGACCTTCTTTACCTGGAACTTACTAAGAATCTGTCAGTCAGTGAACATCTTGCCTTCTTGCAAGCATGAATCACTTAGCCTGCTGATAGCTTAGAGAACACCTTATGTAAGTAAGGAGTCATATATTCCACTATGTAGATTATTTTTCCATATGCTAGCCAGGTAGAGATTACTCAAGAGTTCTCTTAGACTGTTAAATTGCACACAGTTTTGGACCCCTTCTGCTCCAGCATAGGGAGTGAGGAAGAAAGTATTAAAGCTCACTTTGCCCTTCCATATGCTTCTCAAAAGTCTATGTAAACATATCTTAATAGATGTTGAACACCATGTAAATAGTTGAAAATATAAATTTCTATTTCAGTTTAAGAAAAAGCTTATGAATCATCACTAGCCACTGTTAATATCTATTTGTATTCTTACACCTTTTCAATACATTTGAACAAATATATAGTTTCTGGCACTATTTTTGTACTAGGATAAAGGAGTTACTATGTATATTATGTTTAGCTTTTAAGTCATTTTAAATAATTGTGAATGTTGATTTCTTGTCTTTCCTCTCCCCCCACCATGAGAACCATTTCATGTGACTCTCCTATGACAAAATCACTTTAAAGGAACACTTACCCACCTACGATCCCTGTAAAGTCAAGAGACGGTCAGGGTGGTTCTCCACTGCACAAACTATTCGCTTGTCAGTTGCCTCCTCATTTTGCCAGGCTTTGTAAGAATAAAAAGAAGAGTGAACAAGCAGGTATGAGTGTTGTGTGATTATTAGGGACTCTGAATTTTAGGCAGGGAGAATGGGCCCAATAGTTTGAGAGACTTTAATCAAGCTAACCTGTGGTCCTATTAGCTGAAAAAGATGTGGTTTAATAAACTCCTTTCTTTCCTCAGCCTAGACACCTCAGTAATAGTCTTTTTGTTAATATTCTTTGCTACCAGTTTGAGGGCAACATTTTCCATACACCTCACCACTTCTCAAGTCCCTAACAATTCTATAGAGGGTGATGATTGTTACCATCCTCAGGCTGCATGCGGAGCTAAGGCTTAGGAATTAAATACTTGCCAAATGGCATGCGCTGGATTCGATCCCAGATCTGTCTAGTTTGAAAGCAGGTATTTATTCCACTTAATTCTCTTTTTGAATTTTAATAGTAAAAGTTCCCAAATCCACTCTCAGTGGATCAAATGGGCTACCTAGAAGCATTAGATACAAGATTTCCCACACCCAGCAGATCTGGTTTTGTTTGGGATTTTAGAGTTAACGTTCCTTTAGTTCATCTAGTAATAGCTAATGCCATGCCATCACAGAATCCCAGGTACCACCGTGCTTCAGTGCTGCTAGTCTAGAGGCATGGAGGTATAATTAAATGCAAGATTTCTGACTCATTATTTACTTTTGCCACTAGACAAGCCCTCTTCACGTGGAACAGAATATCTAGGCTATGCCTAATTCACAAAGCTAAAGGCAAAAGTAAAATGAAAGCTCATGTAAAACAGTATTTTAGATCTTCTGATCACTAGAGTGCGCCACAGTTTCAGTTGTAGTTAAAGAAGTAATCTTACTGGGTACAAACA